CCCAAAGGCGCGGCGGCCCCGCACCGCCTGCCGCCCCGCGCAGGGAGTATCGCGAGAAGACGAGGAGCGCCACAGGCGCAGAAACGAGCGCTGTCCCCGCACGGCCTGGGGGGTACTCTCCGCCTCTTTCGGCATTTCACGTGTACCCGACTGCAATCGTAGCTGCTGCTACGTCTCAGTTAATTTCGGCAAGGACAATTTGGCCAGATTAACAATAGCAAACTCCCCACCCCCCCCCTTAAAATAAGTAATAAACAGCCACCTCGGTTTTTTTTATCAGTTCCTTTGCAAATTGCTTAATTTCTTTATGTCAGCTATCACAGGCAGGGAGAGTAATTTCACTGTAGAATAGTACTAGTCCCAGTTTGTAGAAAATGGCATCTTCTTGGGGTTGTTCACAATTAGTCTGAAATGCCTTTTCAGCATATCTCAACACGTGCTTGCCAAGCTCCCCAGGAGCCCTCATGCTAAAAAAGTACAAGTTAGGCAATTAAAAACCCAGGTCTTGCTTGGCCTGCTACAGGCTCCATCTGGTTCACTACTTGTTTCTGGTAAGATACAGATCCAATCCCATGCAGTAACCAGCTATTAGCAGTAAGGCATTTAATGCTGACGAGAGGAGGGAACTGCAAAGGGAGCTCTGCAAATAATTACACACTGGGCTAAAGCTGAATTATGCTTTCTGAAAAAGAGCATGGGAACTAACTGCAGGGAGAAAAGCAAGGAGGTAAGTTATGCAATGTCTAACAATAGGTGAGTCATTATGCTTCAGATTTCTCCCCACACAAAAACCACTTTCCCCTTTCACCCTATAGGCAATCCAGAACATCCACCTCATCCTGACAAAAACATGTCTGAGCAAACACCCTCCACACATCCTGCAGCAAGTCCTCACACTCCTTTTCAATTTGCTTTGGTAACAGGCAGCTCTTACCAAAGAGGGCCTCCCTTGTAAGGATCAATCAATCCTCTCCTCAGACTGAGGACCTGAAAAGCACTACCATATACATCATTATTTTGTCAAAAGGCTGGCAGGAAATAACGGCCTTTTTGTAAACCAAGTGATATAACTGGGGAATGGAGGAAGAGAGAAGCTTTTGGGCATACCAACCTTCTAACTGGAAATAGGAGCATCAGCCTCCTAATGTAAACACTCAATTTTTTCCCCTCCTCTCTTTACTAACAGAACTACTCTTCCTTTGATGCAACTGTGGCACTGCTTCCAAAAAACATCATCTCTTCACCACTGGTTCCTGTCCTGCAGCTCTCCCCAACCGCTTTAGAGCTAGCACAAAAAAATAGGGCAGCGCAAGAGCAAGAGCCAGCTGCCAGGGCCAAACTAGATTTTTCCCCATCAGTGGTGGTGCCATCTTCAAAGCATTCTACCAACATGCAACATAAGTCTTGGAAAGAGGCAAACGCTGCAGGGGAGGTCTGTGAACTTTTATAACAGCACCTGAAATAGTTTCTGTAAGATAAGTGTAATGAACCTTTAACTTCAAGATGGACTTTGGATGCAAGTTGGAAGAACAGAACTGATGACACAGAGGAATTGAGTTCAGAATGCTCTAAAGGAAAAAGAAGATGTAAGCAGGAACAGCACTAAAGAGAATGTACTCAACTCAGAACAAACAGAAACTGAAACTAAACATTGATAAGGAGAAAAACATCTGTTACTAAATAACCTAATGTAATCAGCAACATCAAGAATGGCACTAATCAGCATTATGCATTAACCAATAGATTTGTTTAATCAACAATGATGTAACGCTAGCAAGCATATAAAAGAGGGAAAATAAAAATCGATGGGGTCCCTCTTTGGAGGCACCCAGCTCAAGCTGGTTTTTGTTACGAGTCCAACTCTTTATTCTCGACATCCCCAATTTTTTTTATTACAGTTTCTCTCCCAAAGAGACTCAGGAGAGTTCATTGTCTTTTCCCACTAAGATGAGTTGCCATAGCAACTGGCAAGAGTACGTGCAGTTTAGGCACAGCACATGAGCTGGGCCACTTTCTGCAGTCCATTCAAGGCAGGTCCATCCTGCCTGTTTCTTTTACTACACTTCATGGATCTGTTGTCCATGAATTTTCCCAGTCCCTTTTAAACCTGCTGGTACTGTCTGCCTCCTGTGGCAATAAATCCCAGAAGTTCACTATCTGCTGTGTGAAGCACCACCTTCATTTAACTGGTAGATCTGTTTCAAGAGATTGAAGAGTGCCCCCTAGATCTAGTATTGTCAGATTTGGTGAATAGTAGTTCTGCATCCACTCAACTCTTGTAAACCTTGACCATATTCCCTGTCTTCTCCTCTCCAAATTTAAGAGTCCAGCCTTTTTAGTCTCTCCTCACAAAGCAGTTGCTCGATTCCCTTGATTACATTAGTTGCCCTTCTCTTAACTCCACTATGTCTTCCCTCCAGATGCCGGAACTGCACAATACTGAAAATGTGAGTGCACCAGTTTCACATAGCAGCATAATAGTACCACCTGTCTTATTCTCAATACCTTCCATAAGATGCCCAATATTTTGATTGCTGCTCCATACTGTGCCAATGGTTTCAGAGAACCATCAAAGATAACTTCCCTGAGCTGTAACTTCCAGTTACAAGTTCAGCACCATGTACATTTAGAGAAATAATTTCAATTATTTTTCCATAGATACATAAATCTTTACTGAAGCTTATCTACCCCTGTTGCCTATAGAAGGATCTCACAAAACTAAGAAAGCAAGTTCCTTGCCACTGCCTCAACATCTGACTACTTGAGAAAGCTCAGCATCATCTGCAAGCTTGGGTGATTTCATTATTCATTCCCTCCTCTGAGTTGCTGCTAAATTTGCTGAATAAGACCACTTGGGGACTGCCAATACTAAAATTCTTCCTCCTCCTGAAAGCTGCCCATTAAGTCTTACCCTTTGCTTCCTATTTATGTTCCTCTGGAAACATCATATCACTTGAAATTGTACTCATACATTTCTCCATGTAAGAAAATACTTCCAAAGATTATCAAAAGGAGACAATAAGCCTGCAAGTTCTGTGCAGAGATGGGAGGGGAAACAACAACAACATTCCCCTTCTCCATGTATTAGCCAGTCTCTCACAGTTGCACCTCTTCCAAAGTTAAATAAAAACAAAAACACAGTTTAAAGCCAAATAATTCATCAACACATTTGAGCAAATGCAACTTGAAGTATATTTTATTGAAAAATAATTATACAAATTAGCGTTTGGAAATACTTTGTCTTAAACATAGCTTTACACAGCTCTAATCTGTTTAAGGTCTTTTTCTTTTTTTACAGTTTTAGGACTCCTATTGCTTAACAATAAAGCATTACATTTCAATCACCATGATCAGTTCAGCCAAAACATAATATGTAGTTTGCCCTTGTCTTTTAATGTATGTAGTTCAGTTTTAAAAGTCTTGTTTATCTGGCTGATAAAAATGTAAGAGGACGTTTAGAAAAAGTAAGAGCTGATTCACTGCTTATTCAACAATTGAAGCTGATTCTACTTCTTAGTTTATCTAAATATATACACAAACCATGTAAGAAAGTTAACATACATTTAGAATACCTGCTTTTTAAACACATTAATATAATTTCAACATGAGTTCTGAAAATTAACAAATAATATTTTCCTTCCTCCTCCCTTAAAGCATGTATTTATCATCTAGTACTTTATGCCATCCCAATTCTCAATCTTTCCATGATACATGTACTTAACCTTGTCAGCGATACATCTGTGTTCTCACTGACATCTTATTCCCCCATCTTTTCCAACAACTTGATTTCTCTTCAGTTTTTTTTAATATCCATTCCCAACTGCTCCAAATAATCGACAATATACAAATTACTTGAGAAACACCACGTAGGTATTTAGCAAGTCTAAATATGTTCACTTATAACATATCAGTAATAGCTTCAGTTACTGAATAAGCAATGTAACAGCTCATAACTATATAGTCTTAAAGTTACTATTGCCTTTTTTAACAACAGCACATAGCCAGTTCCTCTATACACATTTATCAATGACCTCCTCTCATATTTTTACTAGCTTCTAATCACTTTGTAATTCCCAAATACTATAGTCATTTGAAATTGCATACATCTATCTTCCAATATGCTTAATCATCAACAGAACTGCATTTTTTTCTATACAAAAATATTTGTTTATATTCTTTAAAAATGTAAGCATGCAATCAGATTTAAAGATTGGCATTTGGCTAAAGTATTACTGTTAAAAGGAATTCTAAAGAATATTGCACTGTTAATACTACTCAGCAATATGTGAGGCTTACAGAGTTAATAGTTGCTACAAATCCACTTGTGTTGTACGAACTAGTATTATGGACGTACACGTAACATCTGCTCAGTTGCCTTGCCAAGTACTACAGCATTCGGTTTTCAGTCCACACCAGAGAGAATCCAAACTTCCTACGTTATAATACTGTGACCTGCTTACCTGAAATAAATAAATAAGTACATGTCACCTATGGTGTCGTTTCTCTGCTTGCACACGATATGACTGTATATTAGAAGAAACTATCATCCCCAAAATATGTCTGCTTTCAAGAATGTTTTGCCCCTCCTTCCCCTATTCTGGGTTGGGCTCCCCCTCCCCTTTTTAGTAGTGGATTCACCTATTATTTAAGAAAATCCAATTTAAATTAACTTCTTAAAAAAAGTTATAGCTTATTATGAGTTAAAGTAATAGACAAACATGTATAAGGACTGTGGCATATATATGAATAGATAGATATATAATCCATGCACAGTTTCCATACAGAAGGATTACTTTTTTGTAAGTAATGGCACATCAAACAGGACAGTATAATGCAACACCTTTACATGTCTATCTACAGACAGAAACAGAACACATCAGATAAGCACTGAATGATAGAGAGAAATGAGGCTTTCTCCTAACATAGGAGCAAATACATTTTACAGGAGAACAGGGTTTAGAAACTGATGCAAGACATATTTTTGAATAACAAATTAGAAGGCCATGACACAGTACAGATCCATAGGAGACAAATGTAAAGACATTGTAAGTTCCCAGTCAGTACTGGAATCTAGAATAGCAGCATTAAACCCAGATATTTGAACCAGAATGTCCAACTGATCCCTCTAGTTTCACATTCAAGTTTCATGATGTCTAGAAGTTGAGCCAAAAACTGCACAGCTGATGAAAATCAGTTTTCAGATAGAAGCTAAGATTCTGGCCAATATCAAGAAAGTGATACATTTTGTGGTTCCCAAGTATTGGAAGAGATTAACTAATAATAAATTGTTCATAGATATCACTTGAACCAAAGTGCTGGCCTAAAGTGGATCTGGATCTAAACGTTTAAAAGACTAAATTATCATGTTGAGCGAGTATTAACTATGAACTCCAAAACGTTGGGTCACCATGTGAGATCTGACATGAGATAAAGGTGTCAAGATTGTACCCAAATTTTGGGATGTGATCATGAAAGAGACTCAATGGTCATGACATCCCATGAGTTCATTATCCAAGTGAAAAATATCAATCACTGCACAGAAAGTGATGAGATTAAGCTTATGCCAGTGCTGCAAGCCAAGAAACTTTCAACTGAACAGTGCCACTTGCTACTGCGCCAGGTGCAAACCCAAGAAGTAGAGGAAAAGATTAAAAAAAAGAGAGAGAGAAAGAAATGAAAAGGAGAAGCACTAGCTTCAGCTATTTACTAGCTCAGCAAGTTTTCTGTTTATATTTTGGTGAACTGAGAGAAACTGAGCAACGGATCCCTCTGAAACAACCATTTGTTCACCACCTTGCTCTGAACAGAAGGGGCAGAGGGAAGAAGTATTAAAATTCTGCACAACAGACATTTCAGTACAAAGTTCACAAACAATGTATCAAAGTCACTGACCATCGTATAAGCTTAAATCCACATTGATCTGTCTCTACTTCAGACTCCAGCTGGAGAGAAGAAATGTAACGTTTTCAGGGCTGCTCTTATGAACACTTTCACAGATACATTCTCTTAAATTACAAACATATGAGTTATATACCTTTGTATCCTAAGTGATAAAATTTGTCTTCAAAATTAAACTGTTGTATACAACCATGAAAATACAATATACTTTATTTGGTCTAGAACAACAGATTCTTCAAATAATACCTCTTAAGTTCATTAGAGCTCCACTCTCTAGAAATAAGAGTGACTTCATCCTCTTTAATAAACAACTCCAATGTTAATGCAAGAGTTGCTTTTCTTTTTTAATTTGAAAAACACAGAACTACATACTGCTGCATGGATTTTCTATCTAGGATTAAGACAACAATATCATTAGCTTCATTAGCACAAAATATCTTGTAAAATGCATCCAACATACACCCCTTTATTTTAACAGAGTACCAAAGAATACAGTAAACTCCTTTTTGTTGAGTATACTCAGTCTTTTTTGGCAACTGAAAAGTTCTATTATCACAGTGCTCTCATTCTATTCCTCTTTTGCATAAAGTTAACATGATTACAAGCAGCATCCATTAAAAAAAATTTATCAATAGGAAAACTGAAAAGGGAAAAAATTGTACTAAAACTATATCTTAAGTTTACTTTTATCTATCAGGTCTTCCATCAATGCCTTTACCTTAAAGAAGTCATCCTGAGAGATTATATCACAGTTGGGAAGAATTTTCTTAAGCTTTTCTGCCAGTGTTGTTTTCCCCCCATTTGTTACACTAAATTAGAAAACACAGTAAACTCGTTATGACCATATCAGAGAATTGCTATTATCCTATTTTTACCGGCACAGCATGACAAAGCTCCAGCACATGGTAACGGCCAAAACACGCTTCCCGTTTGGCACGACCACTTCAACGCCTCCGGGGTTAATATTTACTTTTAACCACTGCTTAAAGACATCGCGGGGATGTCCCGAAGAAGCCATCCCGGCCGAATGGCTTTCACACAGGCAGAGCTCCTACCCCTTACGCGTAACTACGGAGCTGACCAAGGCGCGCCTGCCACCGGGCTTCACCGCGGAGCCAGCATGAAGCTCCTGTC